GGCGTCGACGAGAACTTTCTGATCAGTTATCGCCGAGAGTTTATGTCACTCCGACAATACGCCGCCGTAATTGGCGATAGCCGAGATGAGATCAAGATCCAGGGCTTTATCCCCACGACGGACGTCTATGGCGATATTCATTCAATTCGTATTCCTCGTGGAGACACGACAGGCATTTACAAGATTTTGAGTGAGTTTGCAGAGCAGAATGAAAATTATGCAAACATTCAATATCAGAGAAACGCGCAACAGTCTGCAAGTGTGCAGGGACGCGATCGTGGACAGCCAGTTTCACAGATGGGCTTCATGAACATCGAACAGCGCATGGCCACGCCTTATCCCAAGTTTGCCGATTGTGGCCAGGACATGTCGTCTGACGAGATTCGACGGCTTGAAGAGATCTTGCTTGAGTTTGGGCAGCGTGGAGCACCATCTCCTCAAGGACCTGTAACAAGGCCCCCGTTGACGCGGAAGCGATCGCAGATGTACATGGAGACTATTGAGATGCAGACAAACGACCGAGGCTGCAGTGGAGGAGGAAAGAAGACCGAGATCAATCTGGTCGTATTGCAACTTGGGTTGACAACCGGACTCCACCGCCAGGCGTGCCTCAGCCGCCAGCTCCCGTAACAGGGACGCATACCTCGTCGGTATTCCGTATGAATGCACCTCCTGCTCAAGGACAAGTTTCAGGAAAGGGTGACTCCTCTAAACAGGATGTCGGTGAACGGAGAGATGTTTCTGGAAAGGGCAAAGGCCAAGGCAGTTCTTCGGCAGCAGGCTCAGCCGCTCCCGCAAAAGGGACGCCGCGTGGTTCTGTCGCCCGAGCAATTTCCCAGAGCCGTGTCCTTCCACCTAAACGTGGCAACATCCCCAAGGACCTCTTGGGTCCCCCAACTTCACCGCCACCGTTACCTGCGCCCAACAACCCACCTGCAACTGGCCTTTCACAAATCTCCAAGCCACGTCCAGCCAAACCTTCACCTCCGAAGGTCCCACCACCAAAGGTGCCTCCTCCAAAGGTTCCTCCACCGAAAGTGCCACCCAATACAGCCAGTGGCATTCCGGTACATACAAGGCCGACAGATTTCAATCTCACGCCGAAGCCGCCGCCGCTTACAGACCTTTACAGTCGGTTGCAACCTTCCGTAAAAGGAAAGGGCAAGGATAAGCAGCAGGTGAGTGTTCGAGGAGGACCTTATGCTCCACAGCAATGGAATGTACAAAACGTGCCACCGCCGCCATTGCCACCCGGAACTTCATCCGCTTCGGCATCATCGTCACATAATGCACCCTTAACTGGGACGCCGACTTCCAGCATTCGTGGAACTATTGATCGACCATTGGAACCCTTTGATTTTCCTGGAGTACAATGGCAACGCGATGACCCATGGGGCGAGAACTATTGGCCCAATCACATGGAATTGTGGGAGTGGTTGAGGCAGGGATGGCATGACGAGACGGAGCGTTTTGGAATACAATTTCTTTAAGCAGATGTTGAATAGCTACCATAAATGGTATGCCTTGCAGCTTATGAGTGTTGAGATAAAGATCACCTTCTGACGCGCTGTGAGATGATGTTTCACTTCATTGTCTCACTTCCCAATGCATCCATAACAGGATTGCCATAGTCGGAGAGTGAACTTTTAATCAATGCTTAACACTAACCTGGGCCTAGCATGTTTAACCACATGCCGAGTGAGGCGAAAACCGTACATTAGGGTAGCTACGTTCTCCTTGTATAGTGCATGCACGAGCTTGATGAGGGATTTCTAATATGATTCCTTCGTCGCTAGAATTTGATCCTCCCCGAGATTTTTCCCTACGGGTAGCTCCTTGTAAAGGGGGGTGTTGAAATTCACCTCATCCCCATGGACCCCGTAGCGTTGACTCTCAAGGTAGAGCAAAAGGTAGCGCTTACCGGGCTAGCAGGGTTAGCTAGGTAGTTAGTACTATTAGAGCTGATCCTGTAAAATACAGTTTGTTTGTTTGTTAGTTTGTTTGTTTGGTTTCAGCCGCACAACAAATTCCGAGGTATCCTGACCTTCCGGAAACGCATCGGCTTGCCGCAGTTCCACGACCCGAAATGTGTGGGAAAGCCACGATCCGAGGGAGTCGCTTGATCCGATCGTCTGGGCCTTGTTCAAGGTGATTTTTTTGAAGTTTACATTTTTTTGCAAACATATATATATATATATATTTTTTTTTTAAATCTATACTGTTATGTTTACAGTTTATATTGGCATTTTTGGAATTCCTATATATCTGCTGAAGCTGAATTTAGAGCTTGACTTTTTGGCAGTGCTTTTGAGATCTAGTCTGACAGAAGATGATAGCAAAGGACACCAATTGTAATATTGCAGCGATCCAAGAATGGGAAGAGGTGGAGGAAAGTGCTGCAAACTTTCGTTGTTGACCCCAGATCTGCTCCTGTTTCCATATCTAAGGTTGCGATGCGGGTCTTGCGCCGGAGGAAGGGCTACTGGCAGGCCCTAGAGCGCTTGAGTCATGGCAAGACTGGTTTTTGGTGCACATGGACCATTCCAAAGGTCCACTCTAGAGTGAACAATCAACCCCACCATGCTGTTCCAAGCCACTTTTAACCGTTTGTTCTTGCCTCCGAACTAGCAAACAAAGGCTTCAAAGAAGCGGTTCGCCAGAACGGCGCTGACGGTTTGATGCTCTTTCGCCCACTTCTTTCAACACATTGGAACTGATCGTGCGTAGCCACCAACCACACTGCTCTGATGGCACACCCATTCTCATCAAGCCGTTCGTCAATCAATGTATATAAGAGACACGTGCAGTCAGCCAAGTGATATTGATTGGGAAGATTCTTTTGTGTGCGCTCATGCTGGTGTTCTGCTTGGAGGGCCACTAGCATTGTTAGAGCTGTCAACAAGCTACAGGGGTTGGCGTGCCAAACAAACCTTTGCTCATCACATTGCCATAGATCGTTTTGCGCTTGGCGACGGGTTGAAATTCTCACAAGTGGTCTTTTCCGACGAGATGTGACGTGCCCAGACAGCTCCAAGGAATGCGCAATTTCAATCTTTCAAAGATCGAGCACCCACAATGGTGCAAAAGCTGAACAAGACGCGGTGGATACTACTCTCTTCAGAGCGTCTTAGCAGGGACTCTAGCTTGGTGAGGTGTGTTCATGGCAAAAACATGGTTGGTTGCAGCTTGAAAGTTTAGAAGTAGCTAGTTCATCCAAGTTCATGTTGGCTGGTGAATGGCTAGCAATCATCTTATTGCCTAGGTTATCCAGGCCGGTGGCAATCTTGACTCTCGGATTTGCACCTGCACGCTGTGCCTCGGCTGTTTTGGGTGAGTGACATCGGAAAGCATCTCGGCTCCGGGTGGCCCAACCGGGCATTCTTTTTTGCTTCAGTTGGCCACAAACCGTTGGTGAACGTCGGTGATCACCATGAAACCGTTGGAGATGTCGGGCCAACCTGACCATCCATTGAAACCTGGTGAATGGGATGCCCCACCGAGAAAGAACCAGGACCCAGTCCCAGCCCTTCTGCCCCTTCCACCGGTGCGGTGCCGGTCACTTGGACGATGTCACAGGTCACTGGGACGTGCTGCCAGCGCATCCGTTGGTGGTCAACCCGGAGGTCCCCGCACTGCCTCGTTTGGGCAGCGCGAAGGCCTTCGGAGGCAGCCTGCTGAGTAAGAGAAGACTGCCTTTGCTCTCAATTCCAATCCATGGAAAGGTGGTAGAGGCCGGCGGGGGGATCTAGACTGGATGTAGCTGGCAAGACGATGCCATCCATGTAGCTGGGCTGATGATCCCATCCATTCACTTTCCAGTAGCATAAGAAGACGATGCAAGACTCACATGAACTCGTTGGATTTGCTTTCGTTCGTTCTACCAATCTTGGACCTCCTTATTCTGTGTATCGCGCGGTGTTCTTCGACGTCTTCCCGTGGGAGGAAAGTGAGCCGGTCTTGATCGAAGTGAGCCGCGAGATGAATCTGTTTACCTTGGAAGTGCCGGAGACGTATCCTCTTCCTTGGGGGCAGGTGGGGAGAAACCTCTCACGAGCGGTTCAAGCAGGCAAATGATGCATCGCGCGGTGTGTCCATGGGGCTATGGCTATGACAAGAGCATGGATTTGTTGTTGTTTTTTCCATGCAAACGAGCTTCCTCAACAACGAGCTTTCTAGGTGTTTGGTGTCCTGAAGCGAAGGTGACTGAGGTGACTTTAACATCCAAGGCCCAGCGGCACGAGAACCCAACTCCACTCTTCTTGGGATGTCACCGCAGATTTGCCCAAAAGCTTTTGGAAGAAGCTGTCGACCCACGCAAGACTTGATGGGACAAGGAAGCAAGGATTTGATGTCTCGGGTGAGCAACACAAGTTTGTACTGGTAGTGGGTTGATGAAGGTCTGAAGGGATGTTAACTCCGGAAGGTTCGCCAGGATAGAGAGGGGGTTCATGCATAGCACATGTATAGCACATGCCTTTCACACGCGTCCATTGGACTTTCTGAAGCACATCTTGCATGGGTGAAACAACAATTTGAGTCGGAGGGTGAGAGTCTCTCTCAGACTCTGCTGGCCTTCAGCTTTACCTGGTCCATGGCCGTGAGCCGCCTCATTGATGCTTGGCGTTTTTTTCTGGCTTTTTTCGTTCCTTTTTGAGGAGGGAGCGCATTTGCTGAAGTACCAGTTGCAGTTTGTGCGAGTACCATTTGTTTCTAGGAAAATAGCGGAAGACAACTCACGTGCCGTTTTTTGAGTGCCCGAGCTTTCACAAGGACAACTTCTTACATCTCGATGCATCTTTGAGCAGAGCCACCACTGAACATTGGACATTTGCTTAGCGGAAAAAAAAGGGTGGCCTTGAGGTTTTCGGTGGCACGCACAACTTCATGAAGTCGGGAAAACACTTCACTTCATCATTTAGGGTTTTCAGACATCCTGATGCGGTTGGCTTGAAATTAAGCTGCGGTTGGCGGGTCGGAATCGATCCATGCAGACGACCAAGGCTGCCTCATTGCAGCGGAGACGATTATGCGAATGCTTTCTGGTGAAGCACTCAGAGTCTGGGTGGGATCTTTTTGGTAGCACTGTGCAGCTCCACATTCCATGATACAACCACAGTCTCGGATACTCTCGGTTTACTTTTGTCCAAAGTGATACGCCTTCAGAGGAGATTTCGCCCGCCCCAAGAGATCCCTTCCAGGCGTCCAAACGGTGACGCCCAACGCGTCCCGAGCCCGTTGACGTCGTTTGGGGAGCTCTTTTCGGCCTCCGGAGCCGTTTGAGGTGGGAAGGTGTGGCTTCTGCCAGCAGCGAGGGGTGGCTTGAGGAGGTTCTGGGACGATTGAAGGCGAGGGGGAGGAAAGTGGGCAGGGAGAAGATGTCCAGTGTTCTTTTTTTAAAGGTTTTTCCATGTTTCTCCAATTTTCCCAGGCTTTTCCAAGGTTTTTTCCCACCAATTTCAATGACCTCAGTGTTCGATGTTTGTTTGTTTTTGAAGCAGAAGGCAATGAAGCGGACCTTTGAGGGTCAGAACCTCAAGCAATGCAGTTCATACAGTTCCTAGAGTTCAGTAGAAAGGGAAGGCCGCAAGGCCTTTTGACTTTCAATTCGCCCCACTGGACCCAGATCGCGCGTCGCGATCTGAGGTCCGGTTGACAGCCCAGCTTAGACTATATATACATATAGAGTTCTTTTTTTACTTTTCCCTGCGCTCGATGGCCACCCAGTCCTCACACACGCCAGTGGAGGAAGCGACTCGTGTGGCCGCTGCGCTTCGGCCAGCGCCTTACTACATGCTCACCGAAGAGACGTGCGACGTCTCTGCAGATGCTTGGACTGATGAGACCATGCTCTCTTGGACTGCAGAACGATGGGCCAGGGTGATGTACTCAGTGTACTTCCAACCACCTGAAGCCACTTGAAGCACCGGCAACTCCAAACCCAAACCACGGGGTTCCCTTCTTTTTTACGGCTTGGAACAGCGCGGAGCCTTGGGAGAATACATTGCGTGGACACGAATTACATGGAAGAAGAACCAGGTTTGAACCCGATGAGCCCAGTGGTTTGGTGCTTTCCATCACGGCAGTTTTCATGCTCCAACGGAGCCTCTCCCTTGGCTCCGTGGAACAGCGGGCTTGGTGGTTGAGCAGAGTTTCCGCGGGGGCGACTCGCGGTCGCTATGGCGGAGCTTCAGGCATCGCAGAAGGGCTTGGTGGTCATATTGGCAGCTGGACTGTCGGCCTGGATTTGGTGGCTCAAGGAAAAGTCACGTAAAAAACTGCCACCAGGTAGCTTTTGGTCCTTGCCATTTCTGGGAGAGACATTGAGCTATGTCCGAGATCCTTTGGGCTTTATCGAGGAGCTTTCGTTCCGTCCGAGTTCAGTGGGACCAGCTGTTTCGCTCTGTTTGGCTCTGTTTCTTTCATTTTGGTAACCGGTCTGGCTGTGTTTCTTGTGACCGGTCACACCGACAGGAAAAGCTCTCACGCTATGGAGGCACTTGCAGGTCGCATCTGCTCTTTTCTCCCACCGTGATCTTGGGAGTGACCGAGGCCAATGCGAAGCTGATCTTCTCGGAGAAGGACTTGGCCTGGCCGAGACACTTCCAACAGTTGGTGGGCACCAGCTCCCTGCCCATGGTGAATGATCCCCTTCACAAGAAGATTCGGACGCTGAACTCTCGTGCCTTTGGAGATCGACAGTTGGACTCCTACCTGCCATGCCTACAAAGACTGTCTGCCAAGCATTTGGATGCATGGGCTGAAACCGGAGGAATTTCCACCTCCCAGGATTTACACCTAGTCGTGAAAAAGTACGCCTTCGAGTGCGGTGAAGCTGTTATCTTGGGAGTTGAGAATGACCCGCTGACAACGAATTCCTTGATGCAGCTCTACGAAAACACCTTCAAAGGTCTGGGATATGTGGTGCCCTTGGATATTCCCGGATTCCCCTTTCATGAATGTATGAAGGCTCGAAAGCTGCTGGTACAGGAATTCGAGACGCTTATTGAGAAGAAGCGGCAGAAGCTGAAAGATCCATGTCGAATGTTTCAAATCAATACTATGCTGGATACCATGCTGCGCCTTCCTTTCTTCTTCAGTGTTGTTTTTTTCTTTTTTTCTCAACCGTCTCAACCTTTCATTGTAAAAAGAAAACAGCAGAAGATCCAAGGCAGGCCGAAGGCATGAACAGTGAGGAGGAGATCTCAGATTTCTGCGTTGCGATGATGTTCGCTGGCCACGATACCACGCTCTGTTCGATTCAAAGCTGCCTCCATTGGCTGAAAGAGTGCCCTGAAGTGGAGGCCCTTTTACGGCAGGCTGGTGTGGCGAAACTCCAACTCTTCGAAAAGGGTCTTCAAATAGATGAAGGCAGTTTCAAAAGATTCTTCTGTTTGTTTCATGATATTCTTTAATATAAAACATATATATATATATATACATGAGTTGAGTTTAGTTACTTAGTGGCCACTCTAGGTCCTTTGTCAGAGCTGTATGTCCTGACTTCCCAAGGAGGTGCGAACTGCTTGGGATGGTGAAGCCCGGGTCACTCGACAGCTCCTGGACTCTCTGGTGAAGACTCGGGCCTTCGTGCAGGAAGTCTGGCGTGTGAACCCTCCGGTGCAGGTCGTGACCCGAACCTTGAGAGAGGCGAGTCGCACGCGTAGTGTCGTCGCACGAGTCGCACGCGTCGTGTCGTCGCACGAGTCGCACGTTTCGTCGTCAGTCGCACGAGTAGTCAGTTGTACGAGTCGCGCTGGCGGGGCCATGTCACTTTCGCTGTGATGGTTGGACAGATCTTCGGGAGATCTATCCCCCAAACGAAGTGAGTGAAGAGGGATTAAGCCCCAAACGACGCTTCAGGGAGTGAACTGGTCCTTGTTGGGAGGACACCGAAGTGGATGGCTACCTGGTGCCAAAGGGATGGGCCATCACTTTTGCACCAGCTGGAAAGCATAGCACAGCAGAGGAGAGCAAGTCCTTCTCCATCCAGCGGCACTTGAGTGAGGGGAAATTCCTGGACCGGACCTTTGAGGCCACCTACTTCGCTTCCTTTGGCGGAGGTAGCCGGATGTGCATCGGACACCTGGAGAGGATCGAAAAGACCAGTTGTTCTCATTTCTTGAAGCCTTGGAGCTCCGTCCTGGTGGGGTCCTTGTGGGGTCCTTTTGAAGTTTTCACTGAATACCTCCAAGTAATTAGTCTGGGCTCCCACCGTTGGCCAGCGATCTCGGAGGCCCACCGTTTGGCGTTCTCGGCGCGCCCAGGATACAAGTTCGCCAGGGATGAGATGTTGGTTTTCCTTCTTCACTTCCTTCACGGCTATGATGTGAAGCTCCAACGCTCCAAGATTCAACGATTTCCTTTTCACTTCTGGCGCCTGGAAGGAAGTTTTCAGCGAGCCCTCAATTGAGGAGGCCGCCAGCGCCCTGGAAAGGTCAACAGCCTTGGACCAAAAGGGTTGGATGGGTTTCGTTGGTTCGGTTGGTGAGATTGCATTCACCTCCGAGAATGCCATCACGCCTATGTCAGAAGAACGCCTATGTCAGAAGAACACTTTTTGTCGCAACTCTGATGATTTCACATCCCCAATGTAAATTGTGCTGTAAATTCACCTCTTTGAGACCAACCACCAAGGGCATGCAATGCCATTGCAATGGCATCCTGACCTCGGGAAAGGGGCAGAAACTCTGCCGATGCACTTGTCCTGTCAATCGCACCTTTCGCTTCTTGATTGACCACCCCAGCTGCATTTGGCTCTTTTTTCGCGCCTGGTCAAACAGTTTCATACCAGTTGGGAACAGGAACAGGGATGATAAGGGCGTGTGAACATGGCAGCCCGCTCCAAATTGTAACCCCCGGCAGCACGTTCGCGAGACGTCATCTCAATCCTCCGACCGGGTTTCCGAACCGCACCGGCCGAGGACATCCCCTTGTTGCACGACCCAAGCCGCTGTTTGCAAGACATCGGGGGCTGGGACGTGATCACCATGATCAGCGATCTGGAGAATGCCCCTTGATCACCACTCCCATTTGGTGTTTCTTTGTTTCTAATAGCGAAGGCCTCCAACCTACTAGCGATGCCCTCCGGGTCTCCAACCTAAGAGCGATGGCCTCCGGGTCTCTTGGCGATGGATCAGCCAACAAGACGACGAAAGAACGAAGGACCATGAAGGAGCATGAAGGATCATGAAGGACCAGTACTGGGGTTGATCTTGAGGAGGATCTCTTTTGATCCATGGCAACCATGGTACTGGGTTTGGTTTGAAGATCCAATTTCTGTTTGTGACGAGCTACCAATGAGTGGTTTCTGGCCTGGGACTGTCCCATCCCAGTGGTCGCTTCTTCGCTGAAGCGCGCTGATAGTCGAGAGGGAGTGAACTCAGGTCACATCCATTGGCTCAGAGCAGGGGCGCATTGTCGAAAGCCCCGGCAATGACACCTTTCGCACCATTGGCGGCATTTATCTCTGACTTTGGGTGACAGATCTGACAGATGAAGGAAAGAAAAGCTGATCATATCATGTCTGGAATCTAGAGCATTGGTGTTTGGGTCCGTTCGGGGGGTAGAAATCCCATGACCACCATCTTCTTCGTGTACATCTGGAGTTGCGTTTCGGTGTTCTGCCACCGAGGATTCTGAATCCATCACCAAAAAGAACGCCACGCTTTTCTCTCCTTCCAAACTCCAACTGCTGATGGATCGCTCTTATGCCACTCCATTATACAATGGAACAATCTCCCAACCGGATGGACGTCCTTCTCATGATCTTCATGCATCAAACATCCACCGACCGGTCAGTCAAGAACTGGATCTCTGGCAGGACATCTCCTGCCTCCGCCCGAGGTTTGGAGTTTGATTCAGGCGGCAAGGTCACCAGCAAGAAGTATGGTAAAGTCGCCTGGCGAAGAGGAAGGGACGGCACTGGAAGACAGACATCTGATTATTTTTTTTGCACGATCCAAGAAGGAGCGGGAAGGAATGAGATCTTGGACATGCCCGCTTTGTTTGGGGATCCACGATCTCAGGTCATTTTGAGCCCAAAGCAGGCACACCGTTGAGAGTGATGGATGGCATCCGTTTTGTGTGTCTTTTTTTCTTTTTCTACTTTTGTGTGTGGAGGTGTTTCCAATCGTTTTTTTTTTCACTGCATGTGTTTCAGACTTTGATTTTTGTAGCGTGTCCTTGTTTGCTGGTCTGCGAAGGGTTGTAGGATCATGGCAACTCGAGGAACTGCATGCTTTGATCCCTAGACAGGGAAAACAGAAATCAACATGAACACAAGTGCAGCATTGTGAAAAACATGATGTGCACAGTGTCCAGTCCTTGGCATGTTTTGTCGAAGACTCCTATCCCGCTGAGTAGATTTATGCAGTCGTTTGGCTGTAGATCACAAAAATGATCAGATTTAGATCTCACAACTCTTCCTCAGTCTGCTTCTTGACCTCTATAGTAGTACCCTCCAACCAGTTAAATTGCTGTTGATCTGATGAAGAAACCAGGCCGTGCTGGGGCCGTAACGGCCGGGTCTCGGGCCTTTCCCACCGGGCAGGGTGGTGGCATCACGGTGACACCGAAGAACGCCGACTTGGTGGTGGTCTCCCCGCAGGCGGGGAATTGCTTCGATATGGCTGAGCCTTGGCAAGAGGGTGAATGAGTCAATGGGATGGGATTCATTCATTCATTCGTTCGTTCGTTCGTTCGTTCGTTCATTCATTCATTCATTCATTCAGTGAGTCAGTCATTCATTCAGTCAGTCAGTCAGCCAGTCAGTCATTCATTCAGTCAGTCAGTCAGTCATTCATTTGGTCAGTCAGTCAGTCAGTCAGCCAGCCAGCCAGCCAGCCAGCCAGCCAGTCAGTCAGTCAGTCAGTCAGTCAATGAATGAATCACCTGTTACTACTAGTCAATAGAATGGGATTTTCCTTGTTTGACTAGTACTTGATACCATCAGGTCAGTCGCCACTCTACGTCCTGCCAGTTGTTTTTTGCAAAGCGGCACAGACCACACACACACACATGGTACTCTTTGAGGGTGCCTGCCGGACCACACCCACCTGGTCGTTCTCCATGCGTATCTACCAACAGGCCGAGGCTCTATGTCCCTCGGTTGATTGGTTTGTTGCTATCCATGGGCGATGCGAACTAAGGACATGATCCCTCCCGTGCGAGGCAATGCCTACGTGCTGGTGGTACCGATGCTTCGACCGAATGAACGTAGAACCAGCTGGTTGAGGGCCTTGTAGGTCTTGAATTCTTGACAGGACGCAATTGGTGTTTGGAATGAAATAGCGGCCTCCGGATGCAGCGCCGTGCTATTTGCCATCACAAACTGCTCAAAGGCTGTTTGACAGAATCACTTTCTTTGTCCTCGAAGCTTTTGTCCTCAAAACTGTGCCGCACTCTTTGACAATCCAGAGAAAATCGATCCTCATATATTTTGTGCTTGTTTGATTGCTGAACTATCCATGGCAAACTTATTCAGCCCAAGGATCAACCCACTGTATGCACCGCCTACGAGGATCATACCAAACTATGAAAGACTCTGGACAGCGTGCAGAAGTCTTTTTTTGGGGGATTTGGTTTGACTTGTCAACATTCTTTTTGTTGACCCCACGATCCTACCCCCTTGCTTTCATAAGAAAGAAATGCTAAGCTAGCACTGAGGAATCCGTTTCGAGCTCCATTTCGTGGCGGAAGACATGACGGACACTCACAAGTTGCAACGCTGCTTGGGACGTTTGGAACTGGTTGACATGTGATGACAATGTGGTTGCCATGCGATGACTACCTCATGTAGACTGGATAAGCCGTCCCCAGACAGACCCAGGCAGACGATTTTAAGACCTCTTCAGGCCCCATGGGGAGTTGAAATGTCATCCAGGAGTCTACATGAAGCACGTGAAAGCTCCGGGAGAAAGACCCGAAACCGACTCAACAGTGTGTAGAACAGCACTGGGAGAAAGAGCAGAACAGCACTGAAACAGACGGGATGAGGAATGCATTCGTGGATGGGATTTGAGTGGTGAAAACTGCTTTCAGGAAGAGAGAGGTGTCATCCAAGGCTTGCTATTCCTGGCACACTGCTCTTTGCAGAGTGCTGTGGACTTGCTCTCGCCACGCTACACTCTGCTCTTCGTGCACGGTGCTCGTGCCATTTTCGTTGAGAGATCTTTAGCTGCCTGGCTTTGGGCGGCCCTAAAGAGCCAAGTTGAACCACTATAGAGAGAGAGAGAGAGACGGTAAGCCTATACAGTAAACTTCTAGGACCTAGATTTATACAGAGGAATCAATTGGTCGATCGACAATCCACCTTTTTCTTTCTTGCTGCAACCTCTCGATGTCAATCAATCTACATGCCCTTGACCAAAGGCCAGAGGAACCCATAGTAGGCCTCCCTATTGAAAGCCGGCTCGTTTTCTCACTGCAACGCTTGGTCATGTTGTGAGGCCGAACTTTCACCAAAAGGGCTCGCTCTTCTTGTCACTCTTGTCGGTTTTTGGTGGGGCTTGCACATCAACTTAGAGCCTGTTGTAGCAGCAATTCAACATTTCAGGCATAAATTCAGAATATATATATATATATATGTTTTTTTGGGCGCTCAAGGCTCACCATTTCTGCTCCCTAGATGAGAGCGGCGATGCATGCGCCTCAGTGGAGGAGATCTGGCACCGCGGCGCTGGGTGTGTGCCGCTCGGCGAGGTGATCCGATGAACTGCGGAAGTCGAGTGAGTTTCACACGAAGTGTATTGGTCGTCGTGACGAAAATAACCGGGGTAAAAAACGTGGTTGTTAGAGAACCCAACCACGGCGTGAGGCCTCTTTCCGTTTTGAACCAATGGAAAAAAAGAGGAAAACCAACTCCTGGTGATCTTGGAATTTGCGAAGGTCCAGTACTCTTCACCTCATGAAGTCTGGCCTGGACATCTTAGAGGAGGCAGGAGTATTCTTGCTCAGGATCATATTGTAGCGGCAGGTCTGTGTGAACTCTCTTGTTGAGGGACAGTTTGGCGACCTCTTCCCGCCAGTCTTTCGCTGGCAGCATGTTGTACTGTGCTATCATACTTTTTGAATCACAAACCACAAATCTTTCAACACATGCTGTGGGATTTTTCCCGTTCGCACCCCCCCCCGGACGAAGAAGCACTTCCTTCCCTAGCACGAGCGCTTCGTCTTCGCCCCATCCCGCGAGGCTCATGTTTTCTATTTTCTTTCCGTCCCGGTGCGTCCGGGAAGGCCAAGGTCTTGGTAGACGCTGAGTGGCCCTGCAAGGACTACTTGGCGCCTTGGGCGGAAGGAACGCACGCGAGTTCGCGGGCGCCGGTGCGCGGGCGCGAGCGAAGCGCTCGGTGACGAAGCACGAGCGCGAGCTTCGTTCGGGCTAGCGACCGTACTCGCTGAGTCCTTGGACCTGCCACAGATGCCCTTGGAGCAACTGGTGAAGAAGTTGCCTGCCTCCAAGAGGTGCGATTCAAATGGGATTCTGCAGAAGTTCACTGGGTTGATCTGGGTTGGCGTGCATAAAGTACTTTTTGCATCGTTTTTTGATATTGTGCAAGGTTTAGACGGTACCTAATGACCTAATGTTTGATGCTGAAAGTTTTTTGGAAGCCACCACATGATGGACATGAGCCTTTGTTGCCGGAAGGGACCTTGTTGATTGCATGGCCTCGTGCCGCATTTTGTGATGCCGTGGGCATCATGAAGACTCTGGTGTTGGCGATTTTTCTGGGATGGTGGTGACATGGACCAACCATGAATGGCGAAATCATGTGACATGGAACAACCATGAACAATCTATATATTCCTGGTTTTCGGTCATGACAAAAGAGGAACGTATTCCATGTCGACTTCTGTCGGCTTGGCCTCCTGCGCCTGCCGAAACACGTCGCCGCTCCGATGTCCATGCCAATTCCCTCGCCAGGCATCTCTACGATGATCCGATGTGCCGGACGCAGGGAAGCCTCTCTCGGCACGAGGTGCGGCCAGAACCAGCACCACCGGGTGGTCCTGATGGAAGGACTTGTTCGTCTGGGAAGGCTTGGCTCGGTCCAAGCGTAGGGCTCCTCGGTGCAAGGTCACGGATCCTGCTTCGTGGCCCCACCTGCCGGGACGTCCGGAGGCTGAGCACTGGATCGAAATCAAGGTTGAAACCACATGGCTCAGAGGTGTGCTCCCTCTTGGGCTCTTATATGTTTTTTCTTCCCGGATTTCCTGGAAGATTATAAGATGCTGAAGATCCAAGTACTCTCAATGCTGGAAGTCGCCTCGATTTGTAAAACTCAACAGATTTAGCTTGGCGGTAATGTCCCAGGAAGTCGCAGCGATTCGCAGTTACTTGGGGGAGAGACACTAGTTTTTGCTTCAGACCTATGATCTGAAAGTGGAAATTCTAGAAATAGCTGACAGTATTTGGCTGAAATGCGCCGCTTGAGGTCAGCATGCGATCGCGGATCGCGGGCATTGTTTGATCGAAGAGGGCCTTTGTGACACACGGCTGCGATCTTGAAACGGGGGGCCAGGTGGTGTTCCAGGCGGCGTTCCAGGAAATGTTCAAGGCGGTCTTTTTCTTTCTTTCTTTCTTTCTTTCTTTCTGAGAATAATGTGACATAGTCATGCCTAGTCTCTGAGATCATCACATCCCCAGTCTACTCTACAGTTTCTCCCGTCGTCTCCGTCTTCACCAGTTCTGAAACCGGCCGAGGAGTGCTATCCACCCTGGCGTGGCGAGCTTTGTGAGCAGTTGGAGCCAGGCTAAAAGGGGTGGGGGCGAACTGATTTTGGCACCACATGGACGAACCTCATGACTCATATGGGGCCTGTCCTGGCGGGGCGCAGGATTTCCAAGACTGGCGCCTGTTGCGGTATCTATATATACTTTTTACCCTCTGACCCGGTCTGGTCTTCTAGAATCTTCTAGAGATAGATGAGATAGTAGATTCCTGACCAGAATCTCTGAAAGTCTTCTCTGAGAGTCTTCTCCGCTCTTCTCCTGTGAGGTGTCGATACCGATCGCGCGGAAGGGGTCACTGTTGGCGGCACGGTGATTGTGACCATGGCTTCGCGCGCGCGGCTCCATGAGCTGCACTTCGGGCTCTCGATGCTTGCCGTAAGCGGCGCTTGGACGTGCGCAAGCGAAGCCATGCCACGGTGCCAGTTTTTTTTCTCAGCCGAACGCATTGGGTGCTTCTTTTGGAAAGAAGAAGAGGAAGGTTCGGAACTGACTCCAAGTTGCTCACTCAACTTAATGTAGACTCTTGATTAACAAACCCCCCGTAGCCTGAAGAGGGTTTCCAATTCAAACGGGTGGGTTTATTAGTCAAGAGTGTACATTTGGAGTTGTCAATGACACTCCAGTAATCTTGACAGCCAGCATTGATTCGACAGTGTGTTTTTGTGTGGAAACACTCAACTTAATGGCAAGGCGGCATGACAGAAGAGTCGGTTCCTTTTGCGAAACTGTTGCTATGCTTGAGGACCGCAAGCTGGTTTCTCCTATACTGTCTGACAATACAGTTTCAGATGGTCTGGCAGACCTTCTGAAGGGAAGGGATCCTCAAATTTCCAGACCTTCAAATCCTCTAAGGAGTCAGTTGAACATTTTGTGTTGCCTGTCAGGGCCTCACGCATCAAGACTCTGCGCTAGTCTTGACTGGCGCTAGTCAAGGCGTTTTCGGTCCATCGGCCAGCCACGGACGCTCCAAGGAATTGGTGGGAGAAGTTCAATCATCGCTTTGATCACCCGGTTCTGGTCTTTCACCAGGGCCTGTCACCTCGTGAGGCGTACGTCAAGAGCAAAACGGATCCGATTATATAAAGAGGATTGAAGATGGGAAAGATGATGGACACATGACTTGATTGTTACTACAAATGAACACGCTTCCCAGTGAAACGATTCCCTTTTGGAAGCGACCTGGTCGTTACTAGGTCCGGATGAACTAACTCTGCTTGCGTTCTTTCCACCGACAGCCCCCCCCGAATTGCTGCTGTTGCACACGCCGCCGGTAGGTGGCGGAGATCAGGCAGTCGTCTCGGAACCGTGTGTGGTTTGCCAATGTGGACCGCTTCTTTCGGCCACTGGGCGGCAAGCCGCCGATGGTGGCGGACTGGAACATGAGGACCGGAGACAGAGAGACAGAGACAGAGACACCGGTCGTTTCTGCTTCGGCTGCGCTGAGGAAGCCAGAAGCTTTGCCAACGGGACCTGGACGTTTGATGGAAGCGACCGTCCCCGAGGGCTATCGGCTCATGTGCTGCTTCGGCTGCATGGGTGGAGGAGTCGACACGTGGTTTCAACCACCGGAACCCGGTTTTATAGCCACTGGCGTTCCGTTCTTCCATGGGCTCCAACCACAACGGGAGCACCCTCCGCTCTCGACCGCCCTCGCACCCGCTCGGTGAGCCCGCCCGGTGGCTCCTTGGAGTCGAGGTCGTTTCAAGGCCACCTTTGTCCTGGATCAGCCAGCTTTGCAGGGCTTTGTGCCTGGGACGACGGTGAAATACCAAACGACTGTGGCAGTTTTATTCATCATCCCTTTTTTTCCAGATTTGTTGCTAATATTATGCAATATGTGTAAGTGGTCGATGTTGTTGTTGATGACGAGCTTGATGATTTGGGGATGGTCTCCAGTAGATTATACAATAGTTTTTCACTTGCAGGGACGAAGAAGACATACCAGCTACTGGTGGCGAATGAATTTGTGCCTCCTTGGGCACAAAGTCCAGGATATGGAGCTGAGGCTTTTTGTCGGTTTCTACATTGAAACGAGTTATGGTTGATAAGGATGGACGTATTCAACTGTCAGAGGCGACATTCTCAGCTTTACTAAAGATTGACTACAACTACTGCAGAAGCATTTGCCAAGGATGTTTTCATTGAACGATTACGGGATTCTTACGACAAGCCGATACCATCCTAGTCTTAAACGATTCTTAACCATGTTGACCGTGCCAAACTGGAGAAATTTCAGGTCGTCACCTGTCATGACTCTTCAGCACCTGATGAGAAGCTCCGGGGAAGTCTGGGCTATTGGTCGGTAGGCCGGGCACTGAGTCGGAAGCGAGCCGACCGAATCTGAGGACTGGATGCTGTGGTTGGATTCGGATTCCTATTTCACTGGCGACTTTTCTTCAAGAGGAGTTGCAGGATAGGCAGAGCAGGCAGGTACAGGCAGGTGCTTGCCTGCGCACCATGGACGTTGACCAGTCGACTTGGCCACCAAAGACCGGAGGCGTCACAGATCATTTGGCCCCCAAACGTGGCACGTTTTAGGTCTCAATCTGGGCCCAATGCTCAGACTGCCAAGGTGATGTGGAAGAGGATTTTGCTGCCAGAATGATTGAGCAGCAGGCGATCTTCGGTTATACGCACGTGGGACGAGAGGAGCGACTGAAGCACGACATCTCTTCAGATTTTGTTGTGCCTTGAGAACTGCATCTACAGTACATACTGGGCACAGCAGGGACCTTTTGGAAGACATTTGGTGGTGTCTACACATAGGGCATCTCATGATTTTCATACAAAACATCTGGGGACAGGACATGATCTGTGAATTCATTCATCTCACATACCTTCCTGGAGCAGAACACGGAAGTGCATGGCATGGTCTACGTGGAGGAAGACTATGAAATCCTCTACAAACAGGGTTTTGGACTCCACTTCCATGTCCACCATGCAAGTTCCAGGGAGAGTGACTGGTCAGAAGACTTCTCACTTCTTGTTTCTAATAGCAATGGTCTCCGAACTACTAGCGATGGCCTCCAACCTACTAGTACTGGCCTCCAACCTAATAGGGATCGCCTCCAACTCCAACCTTCTTCGAGGACGCTCCGGTGATCAAGAACCTCTTTGACGTCGCCCTACTCTTTGAAGCCGCCGAACTGGGAGGCAGCAAAGATCGTCCACCGGCCGCCATGTCCTTGGACGAAGGTGGTGTTTTGAATCAGGACCGTGCCTTCGAGGAGCGCGGGCAAAAAGGAAGTGGGCCTCGTTGGGGCGGCCAAATGAGGCTGTTGAAGGATGGGAGGTTCATTTTTCTCGAGGTAGTGGCAGTCGACTTTGCTGATGTTGTTACGCTTTTCTCCCACCCACTCCGCGCAAAGCTTGCGCGCAAGCTTGCTTGATCTTGTATGTTGCATTTCCGCTGGAAGGACACATCAAAAAGGATCATTCAAGTCTGAAGGAACGCCCCATCCTCACCAAATCATATTCACCAAGCACAACGAATGCAGGGATGAGACGACGGCAGAAGCGATTTGAGATAGATCACTCTGGAACTCATTCAGGTCTGCTCATCGAGAGCAGGCAACTTCAACAGCTTGGGTCACTCAAACCAGAAGGCAATGTCAAGGTCTGCAAGCAGACAAACATGTGATTGACGTTGATACTGGTATGTCTTGCCTAGTTCCGGCTGTGCAACGCCGATCGCCACGTCTTTCCCATCGTCCAGGAGGGTTTCAGCGAGACGGCGCAGAACACCTACTTCGAGCGGATCTTGTCGGTGACTGTTCGATGTTAGGCTGATCCCATGTTGATCCAAGGCCAAACCGTTATGATATCCATTGTATCTATTTGTATCTCACATTGGGCATATTGGGCTCTGAAGAGCACTTACAACTCCAAGATCAGCTTGAAAAACATATGTAATATATGTCAAAGAGTTCAAGATTCAAGCCTTTAACCTTCCTTTCCCACCAACACCTAACAACCCCTGTCAGACTCCCGAATAGACCCCCCCCCCCCCAAACGACCAGTTCCACGCTGAATCCCCGCGGAATCCCGCTGCACCACCTTGGACATGTCGTCGAGTCGAGCGTGGCCACGGAGCTCGCTCCGAGGTGAACTCTCCGCTGGAACGTGGCCACGTGTTGCCTTTCAGCTCGCCGGCCTGGAAGGGACATGTCCCCTTGACCGAGCCTCGGCCTGGAGACACCCCCCGCCGCGCGTGTGCCGGGCAGGTCTTTGCCCGACTCTGCGCGGGGGGGGGGAGGTCGCGGGCGGGCCGCCGCCTGCGGTCGGTGGGTCGTGATGTGTGGGGTCTTTCGGAGACACCCGATGGACCGTGGCCCTGGCTGGGTAGACTGGTCCATGTTCCTTCTTCCAGGGGGCCGGTTCACGCCTGGGAGGGCCTCTCTATTTGAACTACACACCCTTGGTGGTTATCATGTTTTGGTACGCCTGTAACCAGCTGGGTGGATGTTGTGGGACACAAAAAGCCTGTGTCATTTTCATTTCTGGGTGGATTCACTTGGCAAGGACATGATGATCCTGCACATCTCCAGCTTTCGCACTGATGCCTTGCGCAGATTCACTGTGCCACTCTCAGTCATCCAAAGCACCGGGAGGAAGGCGATGAGTCTGAGTCGATCGTGGAAGTCTGAGGCGATCGCTTCTGTGACGTCGCCCTTCCGAATTTCAGACCTCCTAATCACCACACTGGACTTTCACACCCAAATCAGCACCCCAACCTCACGACCTGTCACTGTCACCCTGGCTTGGCATCATTTTTCGGTTGGCTCCCCCGAGCCAGCCGGCTCGCGTTGTGGCCGTCCAACCCGACCTGGATCCAGCTGCGGATCCTGCAGGATTGGATCGATGAGTGGGGCGGCTGGTGGCTCTACCGCTGGGGGGATGCCGCCATCCGAGCGGTACAGGTCTGGCTGATGCTCGAGGCGGGCCCTGGAAAAGGGGCCCTGGAAGTAGGGCGGCAGTGGATGGTTTTGGAGGGTCCCATTTTTGGGTGGCCCACTTACTGTAGTGAGTCAGTGAATGGGTGAACTCTGCAAGAAATCATTTGCTTGATGAAATGCCTGCAACAAGAGATGTGCTCAAAAAGATTCACAAGCTGTACACTTCTCTTGAGTCTTCCGCATTTGTTGACCACTGGCAGCTGACAATCTGTGTGCTGTGTGACCACCAGGCGAGGGAATGCTATGAGTTTTCGGACCTGGCTTATGTACCTTGGATGTACATCCAGGAAAAACCACCCAATCTGTTCGCACCTGGAACAACCGAACACTAGGGAGAATCCAGGAGCTCGCAGCCTCCGTTTTCGATCCCAGACGTGTCGATCTCTCCGGGCTGTGCCCGAGGCGCATCAGCACTTCTGCCGCTGTGCCCGCGAGATCGACGCGCCCTGTACCTTCTTGGGCAGAGGAGCCAAGATCTTTCGATGGAGTTGCGAGAAAAAGCCGGAAGCCAGGAGTGTATGGAGACTCTATGGGATCTATGACCTATGGATGCCTATGGGCATATAGTTATATATTTTGTTGCTCTGGCTAGAGGTTTGTTTCATTCTGGAAGTATGGAGGTGTGGAACGATGATCCAGCAGCTAATACAATGGTCAGTTTTCGACTTCTACGCCAGCCATGGTTCAGAAGTCGCATGACAAGAGAGCAAGAACAGTTTCGAAGCGATCGAGAAAATGCCATGCACTTGTTCCACACATTTGTCTTGGAACCGCTTCGAAGCCTTGTTCCACCAACATCGGCTTCATGACCGTTCATGGATCAACTGCTTCTGAACGAAGAAAGAAGGCTCGTGGTGCCATGCCGGTCTCAGCCATGGGGTGCACCCTCGGATTCTTGCTGCTGAGCTGCGGACTTGCTGGTGTACCTTCCGAGATTGCCTCATACTTGGAGAGCCTGGGTGCATTTGGGATGGCCGAGGCGAAGGTATCGAACTCGCGGTTCTGTGGTTGATCCTTGACTCCTTTTTCCTTCGGAGGTTCTAGCAATTTCAGCATCTAAGCTGGATTGATCCGTTGAAGCAGCTTGAAGATTTGTATGCAGTTTTATTCTTCCTTTCCCATCCTGCAGACACAACCAGCCTTCAGACACGACCTCCTCAAACGGTCCATTCTTGAGGATCCAACAGCACAAAGAGGCTGCAGAGAAACTGGATTTCGAAGACAAGGCCATTTTGGAGGGCTTGGTGGCAGTGGAAAAGGCCCATCAAGAAGATGTGGTTTTGTATCCTGGCCGGCCTACAACGCAGAGCTTCGTTTGTTTCTTTATTTTTTAGATTCAAGTATAGTCTACATGTTTAGGTAGTGGTTGTGGTTGTGGTTGTTGTTGTTGTTGTTGTTGTCGTCCGGATGCTTAGTTGGATGGTGCATGGTCACCTGTTTCTGCACCCTCGTCGGCTGGGGTGGAGATACGATTTTCTGACCGCCTCCTTCTGGGCCCAGGTATCATGCTGTTCCATTCTCCATCTACATGCTGAGTTGGATCTGGAACGGTGTCTCACGAGACCATGCTTTGACACTTGGCAGCGCATTGGACCTGCCCACGTCACACCACGCCACGTCGTCGACGACACGCCGGTCGGTGCCGGGCGCCCCAGGAAATGGGAGGTGTTGGACGTCAATGCGCCGTATCCCATCGGGAAGATGCCACTGAGCATCCGCGTGTTCGATGGGAGCAAGCAGTTCCCATCCTTCAGCGCACCTGACCCTGCGGTTTCTGAGCAGAAGTATGTACATTCTGTTGGCCTCTGGGTTCACACTTGATTGTTTCAAGTGCTGGGTTCTCTTGGATTCTAGTCCAAAGAATGCATGCGAGATCACTCAGATGTGAATGCGTGTGTTTGTGCATCAACACCTACCATATTTTACCCGGCCTTCTAAGAAAAAAAGACCACGCAGAAACTGCGGAGATGCCTGAAACACAGGATACTGCCTCTGCCTGTTGTAACCCCCTGAAACACCGGATACTGCCTACTCCAATGAAAAGGACTAGAGGTACAGCGACTCCCTAGACCTCCCGACCGCCTCGACCTCTGCTTGTGCCTCAGGTGTGCCCTCCTCCCACGGGATTTGCTGAGGTAGCTGAGGCGTCGCGAAGGGGGTAGAAATCGGGAGAGGCAGCACCGAAGGTGAGTTCCAGGTGGATTTCTGGTGCGAAACATCGCTCTTGGTGGAGGATGAAAGACATCCCAGCCCTCAGAAGGTCGAAGTGCGGGTCCTGAAATGGAAGGTCCGAAACGCCGGGGTCTCGTCTCGGCCGTTCGCCTCACACAGCCGTTCCGGTCGAACAACGCCAGACGTGTCTTGGGAGGTGGATCATCCAGAGGTGTTCGTCGGCCGCATTGTCGCTGGCTTAGAACCTGGAAGAACCGACCGGACGTGTCAGCAGACGTCCCAACACTCCTGTGGACTCCATATATTTGTGGCCTCCTCCCAGAGGGGCCCTTACGGTTGACCTCCCAAACGGGACCCCCTGTCAAGTCCAGGTGTCCCGGTGCCACCGACCAAGGTTGGCTCGAGCAGCAGAAAAGTCCAGGTGAAGAATGGACACGAACAGAAGGAGACTCCAACTGACTGGGCTTTTCTTTAGACTGGGACGAATCAGTGGCTAGGGTTGCCTGTTTTTGGCCAGTTTCGGGGTGTTGGGTGGCTTGCCATTTGCGCAATGACTATGTTTAAAGGTCTCGTGGAGGTCCTCCTTCAAGCATTCGCATTTTGCGGTGCATCTATTTTATGGCTGTTCTCATGGGTGTGTGAATTGATTTTTTGTCCAATGGTGTCGAGGTTTTCTTGACATGATGCTCCGAAAGTCTTGCCTCTGCTTGCTGCTCTGAATCTCCCCAGCCTCTCTGACGTGGTCTTCTTGGCATGGTTTATTGATCTGTATTGGCGAGGAGTATTCGTTGAACTCATCATCCGGCTGCTTCCCCCTGGTGCATCTTGGCACATGTGGAAAGCCCTCGCTGACCAGGAAGGGGAGGCTTTTCACACAGATGTCTTTCTGTACCCAAGAGGAGCGTATCTTGATGCAAGCACGACCAACCTCCGCTTCATTGCTATGAGGCAACATGCCATTAACCTGTAGTACACATTGAACAAATTTAGTCTCCTCATGAAAGCTTGTTTGTTCAATCTTCTCAGGCACCACCAGAGTGGGATTGGACAGTATCTTCAAAACCTCTCCAACCCATCTACTTCACCGTCCGCCCCTTTGCAAGACATGTCGTCATTCCATGTCATGCCGAGTCATGCCGAGTCCCACCGATCCGCGGCCTTCGGGAACGGCTCGCACTCTCGCGTCGCCCGTCGCCGTCCGCCGAGGTACCTGGGCAAAGTGAAGCAGGCGAAGTATGTGGACAGTCTGATGGAAGAACAGCCGCTGTGCAGCAGACGGTTGGGAATCGTTGGCTCTTGAGCATTCTCTTGAGCAGCAAACCTCCCGCATGCGCCCTCTCCAGGTGAATCGTTTGAGGGTTGCATGCTGAAAACACTGCGCCATCCCATTCGTTTGACCAGTGTCGTTGACCATGGAGGTTGGCCGACCCAACTTCCGTGTCCAGGTTGGTGGAACATGGAGTCATCAATGCATCGGACTTCCAGCAATACTGCGAAGCTTGGATTCTGACCGTGCCGGGCCTGCCGGGGTGCTTGCCGGTCGCGCGAAAGGGCCCGGTGCGAAAGCACCGCCCAGGAAGCGTGTGGCTTTTCGGCCTCCAAGTGAGCTGGGTGTCTAGGAGAGCTTCACGGATCTGAGTGCACCTTGGCACACTCAAGGCAGAGGGGTTGCATCCGTCATCATCCGTCACTGACTCACTCCAGGGCGGATTCAGTTCGGGTTTGTGCGGGTGAGTTTGGTGCAGGTTGATGAGTTCTCGTCATTGCTTTCCCTCAGACTCATAGTCATTTCCTGCTCCATGACGTTGAGCATCAGACATGGAGGGGAATCGTATGGCTTTATACACCACCTACCTTTCGATTCGTTTGGTTCAACGTGCCTCGTACCTCGCGTTCCTCTCTCCTTGAGGAGAAGCTCGGTGTCTGGAAGGACGAGCACAACACACCCGACCACATTGCTGGAGTACGTGAGCGGCCACTGGGCACAGCTGTTCAAACAGTGCAGTGCATTTTCTTTTTCAATAGTTTTTGTGCAGATGACGGTTATACGGTTATTTGTCAGATAACGTAATGAAAAACTGACACGTCACAACTGCCACGGCTTCAGACAAGCAGTTTGGAAACTGGACATTAGGTGTGTGTGCGTTTCTTTGTTTGCTTGGAAACTGTCCGTTTTGGATACTTTGAGTCAGACATTGTCCTCTTAGGCTCGGCGTCTTTTGTAGCCGAAGTTCGACAGCAGAACACACCACTTTTGCGGGAAATTCTCAAGCATAAATTGTTACTTGTAAATGTAATGGGGCTAATACTTGATCAACGGTAGAAGCAGATAAGATGATTGCAATGCAACACTGCATGCCCCTTGCACAGGTTTGAACAAGAATGTTCAGGTCTGCTTGGGACGAGCTCGCAGCCCCAGTAGACTACACACTTTCTCTCTCTCTCTCTCAGAATTGCGCCCCTCTTCTAATGGGACAACATGCCGCGTGTGTTCCAAGTCTAGAAGACAATCACAGGGTCATGCTTGTTGCCCACCTCGTTCTGACCTGAGAACATGGTGCAATTTTTGTAGAAACGGTCCACATTTTGCAAGATCCTCGTTTCTGTGCCACTTGCGAACCAAACCTCTCATCTGCTTCTCCACCTGGAGTACCCGACGATCACAAGTTTGGCGGACATTTTGAAGCCGTACAACCCACGGATCATCAAGGGGATCCACTTGCGCTCCCAATGCCCTGATTTACACAGAACTTGAAAGTGATGCTTTCCACAACCTAGGTCATCACGCTTTTCATGCCGCGGAGGGGTGTGTTACATTGAAGATATGGAAGATGTGCAAGAAAGCATCCCTTGAGAATGGTGAAGCAGCCAAGTCAATGGACACTTTCACCAGACGCGGACTCCGCAGGGGTTCCGTCGGCTTCGGTCGAGCTTCGCGTTTTGGGTCCATGAGGCTCTTGTCGGTGAACCTGAACATCTTTGGCTCCGAAAGCTGGGCGGAGTCCAGTTGGGAGATCTTCCGAAAAGGGGTGGCTGAGCGCGAATGCGGACCTGACGGAGGTTTTTTGGGGAGGTTTGAGGAATTTCTGGGAGCAGAAAAAGGGAGCAGAAAAAAGGGGAAGAAGAAACATCCGCGAGGCTGGAGAGCACCCGAACTTCCTGTGATGTTATGGTTCAGAGATGAGGCAAAACAACTTTATAGCAGTTTTTCCCTCCAACAGGAGTTGGGTGGGAACATTGCATGGTCAAAATTTGACCAGATACACTATGAAGGTGGTCATGTACCATTGCGCCATTGCGAAAGGACAAGGACAATATTCCTGCCGCCGTCGTGCAAACACTACTTAGTGAAGCTGCGTGCCATGAAGCATTTCGCATGCCGGCTCCCAACTGGCATGACACCCTCACTGGACTCTCTTAGGGTGCCACTTTAAAGTTTGACATTCAAGCCTTGCTAGTTTGGTGCGCTTGTGGTCCCTGTGGTCCTGTTGTGGTCCCTGTGGTCCTGTGTGCAAGTTTTAGAGCCCTTGGAACACACGTGAGTTGTCACGTGTCTGCTGGGTGGTCTATGCTTGCAGAGCTCTTGATTAGAGTGTTTCTAGAGTGCAGATATGTTCAGCAACCATGTCAAGCAAACAGTTATATAAGCAACTCCGACAATTGGAGTTTCCCAGAAGCTGTTAAACAATGCAAGCTGGGCCCAGCCACTTGGCTCAGATTTTGGAGACAAATGAGGTGTCGCTTCACCACTCTGGCCTGGGCGGAGCTGTCCCCTTCATGGATGATATCTTATCTGCTCTCCAGGCGCGTGCGTTGCCTGTGAGTTGTAGATGACTGTAGAAGGCAGCCTTCTTAAGGCAGCTAAGAAGGATCAGAAACCGGACTGCAGTTGGTGCAAAAGCTCGAGAACAGGGTCTATTGGACACTCCTCCGGGAAAAAAGCAGCAATATCATTCGCCAGGTCGATGAAGAGGTTACCAGCCTGGTTGGCCAACAAATGGAGCTGATCAATTGCATCACAGGATTCGTGGAGCAAAATCGAAGAACTGGTAAGTCAACGAATCAGTGATTCGAATATGTCATCATTTGGTGTTCAAGGGAGCTAGGAAAGCACGCCAGTCCCATCGAGAGCACCTTGAATCAAGTGCTTTCATCAAAGTGTACAATCGGATGGTCTGGAGTCTGGAGAGTGGGGCAGTATCTTTTTCAACTTACTGTAGTTGCTGTAGTTGCTGTGTCATAGCACAATTTGCAATGCTGCAAATCAGCGTAGGGTCACTTTTGGACGAGAAACTTTGCGTTCGAATGGCTTCTTCTTGCCACAAATTCGCTTCAGCATTGGTTGACAAACACGCCACTAACAGGTCACATGGACGGCACCTGGATGAGGGGTTTGGGCCAGCTCCCTGAATTGAGGAAACCGTACATCGAACGATTTTAATGGCAAGTGCGAAGCGCTTTGGAAAGAGCGATGGTCTTTGGCCAGTTGTTCAAGCCAGGAGCATCCCAATGAGTGCCTTGGCAGGAACAACTTTCTCTTTCTTTGGGGTTCCCATTTTCCGGCGACTCCAGGTGTCACTAATGCCTTTAGTGATTCAGCCGGCAAATTCCTATTGACATTTGTCCTTTTGTGGTTCGAGTCGGAGATTCATGCTATGTTTTTGAAACGGCATCGTTTCGCTCTCGCTCTCGCTTTCGCTCTCGCTCTCGCTTTCGCTCTCGCGCTCTCGCTCTCTTTGTTTTCGCACATTCTCTTTTCTTCCTTGTTCGTGGCATGAGCATGTTGCGGCTGCAGCAGTGATGTCTCACCCTGGTTTTGCATATGTTGCGAGCAGCTGTGTAATGTAACTATGCACATATGGGGAATTTCAGGTGTTGCACTGTAGTCCTTCACTGGTGCAAGGGTTTTTTCATCTCAGGGCTCTGAGTCGATGATGAAATCTGCACACGCCGACTGAAAACCACTCGAATCTGGGCGCCTCGTGTGCTGGCTTCTGCGCCTGGACGGTCGACCGTCGGGTCGCTCCCAACACATTGGTCGTGTGGCAGACGGACACGTCCCAGTCGTGTGGTGGGAACAGTGGACCACCCAGAACCCACCGGGTCGCTCCCAGCGCCAGCCACGAGCGGAGCGCCGAGCTCGGCGAGTTGCAATGACCCCAAGATAGAGAAACGCCGGAGTGTTGCAGTGAAAACAAGAACGCTACGAGCCACCGAGCTTCCCTCAGTTGCTTTCCGTTTTCATCATTTTGGCTTACAGAGCCCTTGGTTTTGGCTTGGAATCCTAGGCTCGAGGTGAATGACCCCTGGATGCCTGCAGAAAAGTGCCACAAGACCATCGTTGGCACTAGTGCCACTTGGTAGTAAAGATTGGATGTTCGGCAGTGCTTCCACAGTATTGGTCTTGGAACCCTCAGCCAAATGACATCTGCTGTAGCCTCAACTGAATCGTTAGGCCTCCCAATCATTTGCTTGCGGTGCAAACTCTTACTGGACCACTGCGGGTAACCATAAGAGTCATATGCACAGTTTGGCTGAGGTCCTCATGACTGGTCTTGCATTTTCCCCTTCATGTTAGTTAGTCAGGTTCATCCGTTCAGTTCAAGAGAGCTTGGGCAGCTTGAGAGCTTGGGTCGCTTGGATGGATAAGCATTCATGTCCTTTGATTTCAACATGTTCTGCCCAAGGACAACAAGAAATGCGGTACCGACATCATGATGCAATTAATCTTTCCGCCGCTGGGCCTGTTCTTTGCAAGAAGGACTGTGTTCGGCAACACTACGCAAAGATGGTGCAGCCCAAAAGGATTCATTGGACTCCACACCTATATAGTCATTTGGGACAATGCGGCATCCAGGCTGTTCCTCCACCTGACAATCCCTTGTCAGCTCTGAATGATCAAATGTCAGGATGGCCATGCTTTTGGTTCCGTGTGGCTCCAAAGAACGACGACGTATTGTTTTATTGTTATTATTATTACTACTATTCTATTTTTTCCAGTGTTCTTCTGATCCTGGAGTCAGAACGATGTATTGCATGTTTTTTTTGTTTGTTTATTAAGATTATTTTTATTACTATATTTATTATTATTCTTCTTCTTCTTCTTATTTTTTTTTAAATTATGCATACGTACATGCAATATGTTTTCATGTATTCAGTGCATTCGATGTATTTCACCTTTTGATTCGTTGTTCCTTCATCTCTGAGACGCGACCTTGCGGAACAGCTGGTCTACATCAGTGGTGCAGGTGGGGAGTGGTTGCGGAATAGCTCGTCAAAGCAACCGGAGCTTTACTGGGTGTGTCCCAGTAAACCAGTAAACCCGTAACAGTCGATCAAGGATTATTTTAGAGAAAGGCCTCCAACCGAACCATCATCATTCATTGGGCCCAGGAAATGGGATGATATACCCAATTTATTTCCAAGTTTTGGCGGTGTGAAGGAAGTCTACCTTGATTTTTGACTCATAACCCGAAGAAAGCAAGGCTGTCTTCGTCGAAAAGTTGTTCTTGCGAGCTTCCATGAGGTGGAATACCTCGGGATGAGTTTTCCAAGTTCTTGCCGGCATATGTGCCCAGGCTGCCTCAGATTTCAACATGTTCTTCTGCACATGGAACAGTCCATGTGCTTTGCGATGGAGGGAACTTTTGGATTTTTGGATGCCTGTATAGCTTGAAACTTTCTTGGTGGGTTGTAGAAAACGGATGTGAAACACATTGAAACACCTATTCACTGGTCCATTCACTGGTTCTGCATTGGATTTGCATACGTGCTGGGGACAATCATCAAAAACAAACCTTCTTAGTCCTGAGTCTTTGCCTTAATATCAATTCTGTTCGTGTATCATTTGTCACAGCCACAGTGGCCGATCGATACTGCCCCACAAATTGATCCGTCCAAACAAAACCAGCTCCAGCCCTCTTTTGAGGTATGGATATGTGTCGATAGCCGGCTCTTAAGGATGAATTGAAGAACACTGCCGCTGGCGATGGACACCAGGGGCGAATACTGCTCAAAGGTGATGTTTTCTGCAGAGGTCTGAGATCCTTTGCCGCATTCTGGCGATCGGATAGGCAAGTGAGCGACTAAGGGAACCTAGCCATTTAGCATTTCTTAAGGCCAATCACAGCACAGTCAGTAGTTTGGCCTTGCTTCTTTTTGTGGTCAACTTTGAACATTTCAGCCTAAAAAGGCTGGCGATTCCAGGGTTAAAATCTGGGCGGTGAAACGTGGTCACGTTTCGTTTCATCCGGCTTGAAAAAACAGCTACGAGGATCGACTTTTGCATCACACTCGGGACTTTTTCGAGATGAGTTGCTCATGACGTCGCTCACGGCCTTGGCGGAAGATGTTCGAGGAGCGTTGTTGGGGCGTTTTGAGCCTTGCCCAAAGCCGACACCAGGCTGCAATGAGAAGTGATATGTGCTATGCATCAATGAATCAATCAATAACTTGAACCACTAATTCTGCATTTCTACTCTTTTGTAGAGATATGCATCCAGGTCTGTGTGTCAATAATTCTGTCCCATTCGAGCGCAGCAAGGGTACTAGCATCTTGACCCATGGGCACATGTGTTGCTGTATGTTGCTTTGCTTGGATTGCTTCCCAACAAGTTCTGTGTGGGTTTGAGCAATCATTGTATTTGAGTCACTTCCTTTAGCCTCGCGCTTCTTCCCCAAGGGCGCTTTCCGACGATCCAACGACGGTTTCTCCAAGCACCAGCTCCTCAGCAAATGAGAAGACTCCCGTGGTCTTCAATGCTGCTTGACACGCATTGGCTATTGGATGGCTTGGATGGAGACCCCATGGCTGTCAGTCAAAACGAGACCGACCTTGGTTGAGACCGACCGCGCTCGAGACATGTCTGCACTTCCCCCATTTTGGCTGGGTGCCTGGGAGTTTGGAGACCACAAAACGTGGCAAAGTATGAAAGACATGCTATCTATGCGAAACCGAATATCCAGCGCTGCACGAAGACGAAGTCGAGAAACGAAGACAACAAGTGTTCATGAGTTTTCCTCATCCGGTGCGGGGGGTATCGGCACTGTGTCAAGATCTTTATGCTTTGCAAATGCCTTTCGCAAGTTCCGACGATACAAGAAACATTGTTCATATGACAGTGGGATTGCCAGGACAGCGTTTAGAGACGTATGGGCAAATTGCATGGGCACCAAGCCATCGGGATGGAAGGGTGGTTTACATGATAAATCTTCCACGTACTTTTGCAAGGGAGAGGTATCAAAAAAAATAAATAGGGATCAAGAAAAAAATAAATAGGGATCAATAACAAAACATATAGGGATCAATAAAAAAGAAAGTAAAGATTCAGACAACAACAAGCAGGGAGACAAAGAAAGAAAGAACGAAAGACAGAAAGAAATAAATAAAGAAAGCAAACAAATAAATAAATACAGAAAGACAGAAAGAAATAAAGAAAGACAGAAAGACAATAAATAAATATATAAATAAATAAAGAAAGACAGAAAGAACGAAAGAAAGAAATAAAGAAAGAAGGAAGGAAAGAAAGAACGACAGAAAGAAAGAAAGACAGAAAGAAAGAAAGAAAGAAAGACAGAAATAAAGAAAAATAAAGCAAGAAAGAAAGAACGAAAGACACAAAGAACGAAATAAATTGAAGTAGACATTGAAGTAGAGCAGTGCTTACATGAACTGCTTGCAGGACGCATTATAGGCAATATTCAGGTGAGAGCTAGGAGCCATTCGAAGGTAGCAGACCTTTTTGTGAGCCACCTGGAGGAGGGAAGTCCGAGGGCAAAACTTGGAGGAGGAAGGCGTCAGTCCTTTTGTGAGCCGCCCGAGAACCAAATTTAGAGGAGGAAGGAGCCACGCCAAGGTAGCACGCCTGTGGCTCACAAAGGAGGCAGGCGCCAGAGCGGGCAAGGGAGTTATTTTATTCGCGCGCGAGTGAGGTGTGCATTGGCGTCGTCATAATTCAGTAGGCAGGGGCGGCGCGTGCTGCCGAGATCGCTTACTCAAGTCAGCCAGTGAGTTGCAAGCCAACCCCGACAAAGGCCGCCAAAAGTTAGAGAACCACATATCAAGAACGCCCAGCCAGACACAACCAACTGCACACAGCAACATCCAAGCGCGGACCAAACTCCCACGAAAACGGCATTTTTTTAAAGGTCCACCACGCTCTATTTAATTGCCCAGCGCCCTACTTCTCCTAATGCCCTTTGCTTGCTACGCCAGCTGATTCCCTTAAGTGTCAGTCGTGCTCACGAAGTTATTTCGTCCAAAAAATTAATAGCTCACTCCGCCTTGCGGCCATTATATAGGTCTAAGATGCTGCAAATAGCTGCGCGTTGTGCCCCCTAGATATTGAAAAATAATGAAAACGATTGACAGCGAGCGAATTAAAAGCCGCGCGCTTCGATCGCCAGAACGGAGAGATGCAGTCTTGGTCGCTTGCTACATGACGTTATAACTGGCAAGTGCGAAGACGTGCCGGAATCGCCCCACGGGGCAGTTCAATCCAAGGCAGTGCCAGGCAGAATGATGCACCAACAGAAAGACACCTGGGCTTCGAAGACTAGAAGGAGCAACACCAAACCCATTCCAGAGAAAGAGAAGACAGAAAACAGACAGAAGAAAAATCATCGCGGATGCTGTAAGCAAAGTCACTTAATTTGTTTACTTTTGCAGCCATTTGCCAATCTGCCACCGCAACCTGCTATAGTTAGCCCGTTCGCCATTCCGACCCCAAGAGACTGCAGCAAGCGCCTCAGATCCAGGTTTGTTCTGTCTTTTTTGTAAGAGGGATGCTGCTCTCAACTGCTTGAGGCACTTCGTTTGAAACATGCCAGCCGTGTCATTGCCAAGTCAGCTCCTCAGCTAGTGTCTTCGCGCTGCATCTTGCAAAAAGAAAATTTACCGCCTGGTGCACTCAGGTTGTCACGAAACTTAGCGGTTACGCCTTGCTTTAGCAATGTATTGGGGGTGGTCGCAGGTCCTGTCCTTGATTTCGGTCGTTTAAGAGTTGGTTTTAAATGTCGGGGGGGCCCCCCCCCCCATTCGACTCCACCCTGCGCCGCGGAGAATTTGGTAGTGATCTGAACAGAAACAAGCAGCCAGCAGCAGCAGCAAATCAGCAATGCAGCAGTAGCAGCAGTAGCAGCACAGCAAAGCAGAAAGCAGCAGCAGTGGCAGCAGCAACGACAGCAGCAGCAGCAGCAGCAGCAGCAGCAAAGCACCAAAGCTCACACAAGTTTGGCCTCCACAACCCTTCGGTTTCGTTCAGTTTTTGGGGGGTTGCGCAGACGAAATTGAAAGAGGGGGGGACAGCACAGCAGCAGCAGCAGTCTTCAGGATTCACGCAACAGCAGCAACCAGCAAGAAGTAGCAACAGCAACAGCCAAACAGCAGCAGCAACCAGCAGGAGCAGCAACCAGCAAGAAGTAGCAACAGCAACAGCCAAACCGCAGCAGCAACCAGCAGGAGCAGCAGCAGCAACCAGCAGCAGCAGTAACCAGCAGCAACAGCAACCAGCAGCAGCAAGCAGCAGCAGCAACCAACACAAACCAGCAACCAGCAGGAGCAGCAGCAACAGCCAAGCAGCAGCAGCAACCAACACAAACCAGCAACCAGCAGCAGCAAGCAGCAGCAGCCACCAGCAGCAGCCAGCAGCAGCAACAGCGGCAGCCAGCAGCAGCAGCAGCAGCAGCAGCAAAACCAGCAGCAGCAACGGCAACGGCAGCAACCAGCAGCAGCAGCAGCAACCAGCAGCAGCAGCAACCAGCAGCAGCAGCAGCAACCAGCAGCAGCAA